CTTTCAGTCTCAGTCTCTGCTGTTGCCCTGCCGGTCGCAGTATGATCGCTTCCGATGATGGACACATTAAGAAGGACAGTGGGGTCCCCTGTCTTACCCAATCACAGCTGCTTGCGGTCACGGCGAGGAGCCTAGCGGAAGAGGACGCCAGTTCTCTCTTCGACTTGGGTTCAGAGCCGGAGCGTTCAAAGTTCGTGAAAATTTTCCAGGCCCGATCAGTGGAACTAGAAACAGCGCCGGAGGCGAGTTCCGATGACCTTTCTACTCTCTTGAAATGCTTCTTTGCGCCCCATTGAGCCATCTGTGCAACCATCCCTCCCCCCCGTCACTTTTCCTGTTTGTCTTATGCTGTGCCGCACGTCTTTCTTCGCACCACTCTCCCACTTCCCGCCACATTCCATTTACTGTTCAGTGTGTCTTCTTTGCTTATGTCACGTTTCGAATTGTGAACTTAAGATCGCAAACTTTAAATTCCAAAAAAAAACATATCTTTCAAGGTCACTTTTCAATGGGAAGTGCGAGTTTCAGATGCGTTGGACAGTATATGCATGTATCTCATTCGTGTCCGCCTTTCCCGTGCAAAAATTAGTCCGATGTGATCCTAGCCAAGGCCTTCAACGTGCTCTATTTTAGTTCAATTTAACGGTGAACCTTCCGTTCTGTCTAAATAAAGCTTACTTATTCTAAAGTAAGATCAAGTAGAAGCCTTTGGAAGAGAATTATAGTACTGTAGGACGGCGTCCGAGGCTACTGTTCATATTAACTATACAGCGAACGAATTTCGACTTGATGCTTTTAATTCTATGGGAACGAGTAATTTTCTTCAAAAGGCCCAAGCACGAGTGTTAAGTAAACACCTCGGCGGGCTCGTTGATCTTCTTTTAGTTTATGCCTTCTTTTGACGTTTAACACCTGATCATGACTCACATAGTTACCGTGCCGTTTTCTTTGTGGATGATGCCAGTGACGCTTACACCACCCCTTTTCTTGTTTTAAAAAATTAGACAATCGTGATTGCTATAAAGTCTCTATTGCATGTGCTTGCACATCAATTGGCTGTCTCACAAGCCTATTCATCCTTACAAGCGTTAAGGACAATCTGTCGCTCACTCATCAGCTCCCGGGCGGTCGTTTCAAATTTGTCGTCTCCCCAGTCGTCGAAGGGCAATCCCTCGACGATGGTCGGCTCTCGGTTCTTAATAGTTACGGGGAACCCGAAGATGACATCGTTGGGCGCTC